CATTTTTCTCAGATTTGTCATTTTTGGGATCATCATTGCATAGACTCATGTGACCATGCAATTTCCCTTTTACACAACTATTGAAAAAGTTAAAAGTAACACCTGAAAGGTCTTCAACAATCAAAATAATCAATGTTCATGGTGAAAGTAAAAGGGCACTAGGTGAAATTTCAAACTTTCCTTTCAATGTAGGAGGTGTTGAAATTCCTGTGGATGTAGTTGTAACTGATGTAAACTCTTACCAAGCCTTGGTAGGAAATGACTGGCTCTCTAAGGTCAATGCATCTATTAATTACAAAGGATCTGAAATATCTATTGAATGGAACAATAAGGAAATTAAAATCCCTGTGGAATTTAGGAGAAATATAACAAAGGAGATGTTTGAAAATAATTATAATCAAGAGTCTGAATCTGAATCTGAATCTGATTATGAATCTGATACTGAGGATAATGATAGTGAATCTGATTCTGATAGTGAATCTGAACAGGAGGAATTATTGAATCAATTGTTTGCTTTTAATGAATAGAATGATAATGATCAACTGCCCAACTTTGTGGAAAATAATAGCATATCTTCTTTAAATGAAGTAACAACTCATGTTGAGGATCAATTGTCTAATTCAATGGAAAATCAAATAATATCTTTATTGAATAAAACAGTAATTCATATTGAGAATCAATTAACAAGCTCTATGGATAGTCAAACAACTTCTTCAAAGGAATTATTGATTGATAAGGATCAAATTGAATATTCTTTTGATCTTTTGGAAAATCAATTGGATCAAACAATTGGTGAGAACAAGGAACCACCTGAATGTCTCTACAACTCAGTGGAAAATTATTTATCAATGTATTTTGATGAAATAGAAAATTATGAAGCCCATAATGTTCAACTTGAAAATATTTCAGCAATTATATCAGGATCTTATAATTCTTCACTTAAAGGAGAGGAATATTTAAGGACTAATCATGAAGGAATAACAAATAAAGGATCTATTATATTGTTAACAAATCCAAACACTTTTTCTTTGAGATTGGATCAACAAAAGAAAAACTATAATGATAATTATCAGGGAAGCTATGCTATAGGACATCAAGTTCCTATCTATCAATATTTTTATAATGAGTTGATAAATGATAAGCTGGATGAATTTTGGATCAAAGCTTGTCTTAATAGAATTTTTAATGCTGGAATTCAAACTTTTGAAGAATGGATTTTTAAAGAAAACATTTATAATAATGAAATTATCCTTCTAGGTTTAAAATTTCATATAATTAGGTTTTCACCTGAATATGGAAATAAGGAATTAATTTGAATCCATATATATAACTGTAGATGACCTTGGTTCTTGGAAACATAGGAACCCATAGCATATGTCTTCTGACTGGTTAGCCATGTAGTGCCAAGCGTAGGATGGTGTTTGAGGCTATAGCATCCAAATTATTTTTATATTTTTATGTTCACTTTTGTTTATATTTATTGGATTTATAGTTTAGCATATATTTTATTTTGAAATTTATATTTTATATTTTGAAATTGTTTATTATTTCAAAAGGACATAACTATACAGATGATTGATTATGACTGTTTGGTGTGAGGTTTGGGGCACCTTACTTTTCACATTTTTATATTTTTACATTTTTACATTTTGATATTTTTAACATTTATATTTTAATACCCTTTGATATATTTTAGCGATATTTTGTTTTAAAAATATTTTTAGGTTGATAATTATTTATTGATATAATAATTTATACTTTGAAATTTTATAATGATATATTATTTTATTTTAAACATATTTTTTTTATTTTATTTTATTTTTATACCTTTTTTGAAAATTTTATTTGTTACAACTTATCAAAAACATAATGATTTATATACTTCTTTGATGTCTGGAGGGGTATCTTTTATTGCTTACTACTTGTCTATATCCTGTCACCAATCTATGCAAATACCAATACTCCTGGACCAGCCGATGGATATTTCTTCTCAAAGGCCTATCTCTTTTATAAAAACTTAACCCAGCCAGCTGTCATCTAATATTTCTATTGGATTCATTCAGGGAATCCATAAGTCTTCGCTAAGTTCTCAGCTCATGTTCCAAGGTATCACACCAATCATAGGAAGGAGAAGCATAGGATTCAACAGGAGCAGGACTTTCAATAGGACTAGAATAGGACCAGGAGTAGGAGGAACAACAGGAGGAGCCACTTGAGTAATATGAAAGGGACAATAAATGGTTGCCAAAAATCTTGCATGTGATTAATGAATGGAGCGACCACTATGACAATTGGCACGACCAACATGACAGGAACCATTATTGGAGGACATACTATAAATCTGAAAGTGAGGATAAAGGAGGAAAAATCAGTATCTAATTTGAAAAGGACATATTTTAAAGGAAACAATAATGAATGACTGATAAATATCCTTGGATATATGAATAGTCTCTAAGGCGGAAACCCAGGGATCCTGCTGGATTATGACTTGTCAACGCTATGTAGAGGAAACAAATATATGGAGAAATATATAGGCATATATCCAACTTGCAAAATAATGGATAAGTTCATCTCACGAAGGAGGAAATATACAAAAAAATTAGATACCTGAAGAAAATGTAATCTTAAAACTTTCAAATAGAAAATAAGGAAACTTTGAAAAGTACGAACTTTGGAAGTTTAACAATACTAATTCAATATTTGGACCTTAAATACTTGAAAAATTAATTGAGAAAAATTCAACGTATTTGGATAAAAGGAAAAGCAAATATGAGGAAATATGTACAGTAAAATTATGGATCTGCTTGAATACTTGTTAAGGACAATAATATGTGGATATCTTTATAGTCTGGGAAAATTTTAAATTGATATTCTTTGAAAAATCAATACGTACACATGAAAAACCTGATTGAAAATGGATTAACCAATTATGGAATAGTCAGGAGATAATGATCAACAAGTTTGGAACTTGGATATATGATGCTACTGGATTTACAATTATCCATCTGGAATGGCATAATAATAATAATAGGAAAAATTATTATTGGAATATTTATTATTGAATGAGTTTACAGTAGCGTAAAACTGTAACAGGGAAATCCAAGGTTAAGGAATATCATTGGATAAATACAAGGAAGTATTTGGCATATAAGTCTTGTATGTAGTGTGGTAGGCACGTGTAATACCTACTAAGCCTTGCAAATACTTGAGGTATTTATGCCGATAGGAAATATTTGTTTAATTTTGAATATTTGACAACAATTTTGGAAGTTGATTGTCAGGGATAGCATTACTATGAGATTTCCAATATTGGTATAGCATCAGGGAACATTCCAATAGTAGATTTGTGTGACTGATCATCTCCGAAATTGTAAACCAAACATGAAATTCAGGAGAAATCGTATTTGAAATTTTCTAATTTGAGAATTACATCAACAACTGAGATAGAACTAATCAAAATACTTCTAACGTATTAGGTAGATTTTGGTGAGATCATCAACTTTGCTTAAGACCCGAAAGTAGATTTTATTCACCAATCAAGAGATAATCTGCTTTTATTACAAATGATATTTATTTGTCCAATTAAATATGCCGACGCCGATCACGTGACCAGACGCAGATCCCGAAGTTGAAAATCGGAAATATTGATTAACTATAGATTAAACAAATGCCAGCCAAAGATTGATCATATGAAACTGTAGATTGATTCAATCAGATGAAACTATAGATCAAACAGATGACAGCCAAAGATTAAACAAATGATGATTTAGATCAAACAGATGGAAGAGAATAGAAAAAGTCAGAAATTCTCAGAATAGATAAAAATTTACAGAAATTCTTGGAAGAAAATTTTTGGTGAAACAGTAAATGATATTTAACAACAGTAGCTGAACCCAGATGAGAGTCAGATTCAAAGAAATCATGTCTATTGAACAAAGATTTGAAGCTCTGAAATACTATATCCAATAATTGACTCAACATTTACAAGATGATGAAATGATAGAAATTTATTCATCTTTTGTTCATATCATGAAAGGTTCCAGTGGCCAACTTTTTGGACTGCCTGAAACTGTACCTTTAACCAAATCAAGAGTTATTTTGGATCATATGTCTCTATACCAGTCTGATCTAGCTTGTGAGAAACCAACCAATATTGTTGAAGATTTTTATATTCCTGGTGATAATTGGGATGATCAACTTGCACATATTTGTGGTATTTTATCATCCATGAACCAAAGGACCCTCTCCAATGGAAAAACTCTTGAAAATTATTATAAATTAGGGAGTCTCCTGGAACTCAAAGGATGGAATCTACTGGCCAAGAAAAAACTGCGCACCTATTTTTCTATCAAAAAGAGATCTATTTGGAGAATTGCTTAAAGAGTTTTTCAACTCTTCAATGCAAGAGGACCCTTATACATGTATGCTGTCAAACATATAACTCCATATGTTTTGGACAATATGTATGAGGTAGATTTTATAGAGATTTTACTTCCTGAAGCAAGAAGATTGAGAGATGAAGAATTGATCTATGGTTATTTAAATGTGCAGGAGCACATTCCTGAAGAGGAGGAATATGTTGATGAAAAATTTTTAAAATTTTTAAATTTTGACAATTAATTTACATATTTATCATAATTTATTATTATTTCTT